CCAGCTCCCGGCCGCGTGCTGTGTGCCTGGGGGGAGAGGAAAGGGTGCCCAGGCAGAAAAAGTAGTCATGCTCTCTTCCCCGGTTGCATCCCTCACCTGCCGGTGTAGTGCATTCTGTTCATATTTTCGTAGACAGGAAAGTCCACTGGGAGAGCCGCGATGACCTGGGCCTGTCTCTGCCCAAGCCCCCTGCTTTCCTGCGGCGGGAGCTTTCTCTTTGCTCATTTGGGAGTCAAGTGCATGCTGGATCCTCTTCACTAATGAAGCTCCAGTGGCTGCATGTGAGTCACGAGCTTGTGAGGGCAGAACAGAAGTGCGTCTGGATCTACAGGGCTCACCCCAAAGCAACAAAGGCAGGAGCTGAACTGGCTGGCTCCCTCCGCAAGCCCTCCTTCATGAGGGGCCCAGCCTGTGTCCTTGCCAGGCCCCCTTTCTGCAGGAAAGCTGTCATCCTTTCCCATAAAGTATCTCATTGCCTCATCAGTGCTGGCTCCCACAAGCCCAGGGGCCTGTTCTGCAGCCTGGGTCAGCCCAGCAACATGGCAGGCGGCGGGGCTCGAAACCCCGACCCGCCACGTGACAGCGACTCGGCTCTGGGTGTGCGACTGGCGTGTCGCTCTTTCCCGACGATGGTCTTGAAGATCCGCCATTAGCCTCTCGGGGTGAGTGCCGGTGGCCAGGCCAGATCTTCCCCCCACTGGTTGTTCCAGTTGGCAGAAGGGAGCCATGTATGCAGCCTGCAGCTCAGGAAGTCACGCTGACCCACCCGTTGACTGCGTAATCGATGAGAACCTCCAGGGTTCGGCCCTGGCCTGGAGTACTACTTCAGCTAACTGCCTTCTCATCCCCTGATGCAGCCTCAGTTTGTCCCTCTGCGGGATGATGGAATGAGTTCAGCTCCCTCATCCCTGCGTGCTGAGATGGAATCATGGCAGCAAAACGCCATGCAGGGACAGGTGTGTTGCACAGCTCAAATGGATGTCCCTTCCCACCTCTCAACTGTCTACATAATGTTAGCACTTGGGACTATGTTTTTAAGCCTGAGGAGATGGTTGTTACAGAGAATGGAGAACATCTCTCCTTTACGCAGTCAACGGGTGGGTCAGCGTGACTTCCTGAGCTGCAGGCTGCATCATACATGGCTCCCTTCTGCCAACTGGAAGAACCAGTGGGGGGAAGATCTGGCCTGGCCACCGGCACTCACCCCGAGAGGCTAATGGCGGATCTTCAAGACCATCGTCAGGAAAGAGCGACACGCCAGTCGCACACCCAGAGCCGAGTCGCTGTCACGTGGCGGGTCGGGGTTTCGAGCCCCGCCGCCTGCCATGTTGCTGGGCTGACCCAGGCTGCAGAACAGGCCCCTGGGCTTGTGGGAGCCAGCACTGACGAGGCAATGAGATACTTTATTGGAA